CATATGAGGAAAGGCTGAGAGAGCTGGGACTGTTTAGCTTAGAGAAGAGAAGGCTCAGGGGAATCTTATTAATGCATATAAATACCTGAAAGGAGGGCACAAAGAGGACGGAGCCAGGCTCTTTTCACTGGTACCAAGTGACAGGACCAGAGGCAAGGGACACAAACTGAGACATAGGAGGTTCCCTCTGAACATCAGGAAGCACTTTTTTCGCTGTGAGAGTGACCAAGCACTGGCACAGGTTGCCCAGAGACATATAAATACCTGAAAGGAGGGCACAAAGAGGACGGAGCCAGGCTCTTTTCACTGGTACCAAGTGACAGGACCAGAGGCAAGGGGCACAAACTGAGACATAGGAGGTTCCCTCTGAACATCAGGAAGCACTTTTTTCGCTGTGAGAGTGACCAAGCACTGGCACAGGTTGCCCAGAGAAGTTGTGGAGTCTCCATCCTTGGAGATATTCAAAAGCCATCTGGACATGGTCCTGGGCAACCAGCTCTAGGGGACCCTGCTTAAGCAGGGCGTTGGACAAGATGACCTCTGGAGGTCGCTTCCAACCTCAACCATTCTGTGGTTCTGTGATTTCCTTTGCGTTTCCAGGACCGGTGTTTCAGGAAATACTTGAGAAAATCTAACTCTGTTCCGGCTTAAAAGGGCGATCCCAACACTGCCTATGTGCTGGCTGTCTCTTCTAACCAGCCACGGGTTAGTCCAGCTTGCTAGCCAGCACAAAGTGGGTTTTGTTAGTTGGCTGGGTTAGTGTTGTGATGGCTCGCCAAGCTGAACCAGCTTGCCAAGGAAGCAAGCTACCACCAGAAGCTGTGCAGAACCAGCGTGTGGCCGGGAAGGGGAGTGCTGTGGGGTTATATCTTCGATGGGGTGTAGCTGGTTGTCATCTCCTCAGTGTCACTATGCCATTCACCTTTTCAGTAGTTTATTTGCAAGAGAATATCCTCATCTCCTTACTTTATCTTCAGAGATTTTAAAGGAGAGCCCTCATAAATGTAACAGTTGGAGCAAGATGCAGCAGGTTGCTGCAAAGTGGCTCTTCTGAGGCTATTTGTCTGCCACGTTTGAAGGGTCAGCTGTCAGAAAAACACGTTGTAGAAGTTCTTACAAATATGTGTCTGTATCATGCTTAGCAGCTGTTGAAGGTCTGCAGCCAAAAGGAAACTGTTTACAAGGAAAGAAATAGGTTTCAACCTATTGAGTATTGTATCTAATAAACACCTAGCTTTCTATTTTAGCATTTTCTGTCTTCTTCAGGGTTTTGAATGTTGACATTGGTTTGAGTACTGTTATTTCACTCCTGGCTTTGCCTTTGTCACCTATGCTTTTATTGTCTGACTTGATTGTCGATGATTCAGCATCTTCGAGTGTTTTTATACTATGGTAATTTGGGTTGCATAGTTCTTGGTATTTCTGCTTCCCTTAAATTTTATGAAAACTTTAAAAATAAATATTCACATTTTATGTAAGTAAAAAAGTCTTTGTTAGTGTTTTGTTATATGTATATCCTTTTTTTGTATTTGTGTTTCTCTTGACACTTTCCTTTCTTCTGTTTTCAAGAAGCACAAACTGAAGTAATATGACTAATGTTAATGCCAGATAAAATAAATGGTATGTTGTATTTTTTTTTTTACACATAGTAACTGACACTAGGCCAAAAGCTTTTAAACTGTTCTTTTGGTGTCACAGAGAAATCTTTTTGACATGCATGTTCTTGACTCTTAAATTGGTTGTTTTCATGTCATAAGCAGGGCTGTACAGGGCTGTAAATATCTTTCTCTTTTTCCGATTGCTACTTTATTGGTGAATCACAGCAGATGCTAATATGGACAAGAGAATTGCTCTGATGCTCTCTGTTTTCTCCTTCCATAGATTATAGAGCTTAAACTGCTAGATGTGAAATTACTCTGGTTCTTTCTTTAAGGTCAGTTTTGTATCTTGTTCTGACCTCATTTCATCATTTATGTAATTACTGGCAGTGCCACTGCAATTCTGCTTTGCTGTATTCCTGGGCATCCTCTGTTTATCTTAGTCTGCATCTTTGGTGTTTTTAATATTAAATTACCTTTCTCCTCCTGTCACTTGTGAACATGCAGGAAAAAACTAAAAAGTAATGCTAAATATGCTAGGATCTTCATTGTATAGAAAAATTTTGTTGGATTTAACGTATTGGTTTGTCTCAAAGGTCACCCATACTTCTTGTCAAAGGAGACTGACAAAATGCAGGAGGAATAAATTAACTCCTTTGTGCAGCTCTGTAACTCATCTTTGTCCAATCCTACATATGTTCTCAGAGCCTCACAGAAAGACAAAATATTTTTTGCAGCCTCACAGAATTGCTATGGTTCACAGTTTATTACTTGCTAATGACTGAAGCTGTGCCAAAAGTATTATTCTTAACTATCAGCAATTGAGATTGGAGAAAGAAAAAATTGCATTCACTTTTTGGGGAGGGGGAAACATGAGGAGAAGGGAATTGTATATTCCTACCAAGGGAGATTTTTATCTTTAGGCAGTGAATTAAGTTTCAGGTCTCCTGTAGAAATAAAATTAATCCCATCTGGAAGGGAAAAGTCCTGCGCTCTATAGGAGAAATTACTGCAGGGACGTGGTACTATCTCTGAGTGGCGGGTGTATTTTCTGTGATTTTGTGCTGACAGCTTTTAAAAAAAACCCCACAACTGAGAGCTTTTTTCTCTAGTCTGTGTGACCATGCATCCAGGTCCACAAACGTCAAATTTAATTTTTACTCTGAAATGAAACTTGTGCGGAAACTGGTTGTTCTCGGCTTTCGTTAACTGAAACGTCATCTTATCTACAAGTAGTAAAACTCCAGCCTGATTCTGGAAGTGCTTAAACTGTGTCCTTATCATCAAGAGCACGAGTGTTTCCATTCAGCTTCGTGTTTCTTTGTTGGACAGGGGCTTTGTTCTGTTTTTAACATGTAATTCAAGAAATTTAGTGGTTGCATTTCCCGTTGCTGGAGAGATTTATGTTTACTTTTGAAGTACCGCAGTTGATAAAATTCTTAAGAGAGCAACTATCACAAATGTCCCAGCAGTGCCTGTCTACAGCTTTTCCTTTACCTATGCCATACTGTATACAGCTCTACTTTTTCTGTGCCCCCCTTCTGTTTTGTTAGTCATTCTTTGTTATTTGGTTTAAACTTAATGCTGTGTTCAGCAAAGGTACTGAAATACTGCAGATAGTAGCTGGCGAGCTCCTTCCTCCACATCAGTTACAGAGACTTGAGATCTAGAAGCACAAGTTTTGTTTCTAAGTGGTGAACACCCAGAGAAGGAAACAGCCTCACTACGCACATTAGTGGGATTATGTGGATTCCTTACCACCTCCCCAACATTCACAGTCACAAAATACAACATATGCTGTTTTCTTACTGCTGGACCAGTGGTTTTAACAGCATAAGAACTTGAGGCCTGAGCTTAGGGGGTACTTTTGTTAGCTTTGTTTGTTTTTCTGCTTCAAGCAAAAGGATGTGTGGGGTTTTTTTGTTTTGTTTTCTGTTTAAGAAATACTGCTGGCAGTGGAATTAAGTTAAAGCTACTTCAGAAACTGAAAACTACAAAGTAAAGATCAACCCTTATGTATGTAGATAAGGTGAATTTTGTGGGTTTTAGAAAAAATTGGGATACTTAGGCTGCCTTCTGTCAATGAAAGGAAAAAAATCTAGTATATGAAAGTGCTTGTTACATTAATTTGGCTAGATCAAATTGTACTAGTTGTTAATTTACTCTGAATTGAAATGTCCGTTGTCCTTTAAGCAGTGAAGTTAGGTATGTTAAGTATGCAGGATTTAAAAGATGACAAATGCATGGTTTCCTATACAACTCTTTTGTGCCACGTATATACTGATTAAGATGCTTTTCTTTGTGCAAGAAAGAAGGGAAGGGGAACACTGTGTGATAGAGCTGAAAACCGTACAATAATGCAGATCTCAAAGAGAAAAAAATGTGACTGGAGCAACTGCAGCTCTGGCACCTGAAGTGGCTGACTGGAATCTGAGCCTTTACCAAAGCTATCTGTAAGATTTTACACATCAAGTTGATTTTGCTTCTTGTTGTTGCACACTTAGAACGAAGGTAAAATTGCATTTTAAACTGTTCCACAACTGCCTCTCCTTCATACATCATCGGAGCAGAAACCTGACTCTTGAGCATTACAGCACAGGTTTTTACCACTTGAGCTATGGGACTGACAACCCTAATTGGTAGCAGGAGAAGACTTATTCCCTGAGGGCTGAAAAAGGAATATGCTGCTGGCGCCATGTGTTGAGCCTGGGTGTGGGGGAAGGTAAGGAATAAATGAGATAATTAGGAGTTTCTACTGTGTAATCTCCACGGAACTGGAAATATCAGTATTTCACGTGGTAAGGTAGGAAAACAAGCAAAAAGGAATAAAGTGCAGATAAGTAACGTTTTTTTTAATTACTGCATACCTGGGATTGGATGGTTTGTTCTGTTCTTGTGTACATCCACGTAGTTTATTTGGTTGCTAGAAATTGCGCTGCATCAGCATAAGCAAGCGGTAGCTGGCCAGCCTGCAGGGTATTCAGTCTTTAAGTCTCAGGTGTCAGGCCACAGTTGAATCGTTGCTGCTTTTGCCATGTTCTATTTATATACTGTTCCTGAAAGCCAGTGCTTACACTTCATATAAGACCTTCTCTGATGTGGAGTATGGAAGTGTTTGCTATGGCTTTAACAGCAGAGTGTGAGGCAGTTTCTTTCTGGTGAGTAGTCAGTGCTGATTGTGCAGTTAATTGCTACAGGTCACTGGCTAGGGCAAAAAAAGTCTTGCTTATGGGACCATGAATATTTGGGTGGGAAGTGAGGAATTCTGGCAAATAATTAATCCAGGATTTTTATCTTTCTTTTTTTTTTTAAATCCAAACACTACATGGCAGCACTATTCTCTCTTTCCCACCTTCTAAAGAGCTGTCTTTGTTAAATTTAGTGTGAAATAATGTTATTGAAACTTGACACTGTACACGTCTTTTCTTTAGACTGGACTCCTTTCCTCTGTTGGAGGTGTATATTAGACGTTGCTATCAGTTTGTCAGTCCCTTCTCCTTTAAATGTTGGTGTCTGCAAAGTAAATCAGGATTCTGCTCCTCAAACTCTACTTCAAACTTGAAATTACATTATTCGACTTTTCCCACTTTTATATTGGTATTTTAGAAGAGAAGAGCTTCACGTACATTTCTTTAAACCTTCCCCTCTGCGTTTGGCACACAGCATGTTTCAGCCAGACCACAGGCTGCTCCATAGGTCAGCATTGTCCAGTGGTCCGCGTTCAGCCCTTGGGGACTGGAGGCGAGCGCACCTTCAAGGGGTGACTGCTGCTGCAGTGCCTTTTTCCTTTTCTCATTGGCCCAGGGCTACAGACGGAGCTGCTGTTGCGGGAAGAGGCAGGGGAGACTCTCGGTGCATTCAGTGGTACCAGTTAGGTAGAAAATAGAAAGTAGGTGGTGGTACATTGGTAGTCCTCTCAATAAGCTGAACCTGTGAATACGTTCTTTGTATAGTTCTGTTGGTTGTTCTTCACAAGAGTGACGCTTCCTTATAAAGCTTTTCTTATAACTTTTCTTGGAAGAGAAACTTACTCGAGTCTACATCTTAAAGTTCAGAATAATTAGAGAATTTGCTTAGAAGAATGTTTCATGATGTATCTGTGTTTATGGGGTGGTTCATAGGACTTAATTTTGTAAAATCTGGCTCAACTGCCTATCTTTTGGCTAATGCTTATGGGGTTTTTAATTAATTTGTCCTTTTTAAGCTATTCAGAATTGCTTCTATGTAATCTTCCAGTCTTGAGAGAGAAGAGATACTGAGCATAATCTTTTGCAGTTAATGTTTTTATCCCACTGGTTTCCTTGTTTTGTTCTAGCTGTTGTGAACTCAGAGTTCTTAGCTGCTTTGGAAGATTCTTTTAATGAATTATTGTTATGAAAAATTTGCAACGTATTATTTTGTTGCAGTTTCTTTTAAGGGAATCAGTGGTAACTGTTAATCCAATTACACCCAAGTGTTAAGCTGTCTCTAAGATTGCAAACTGGAAAAATGAAAATAGATACTATGCTAATATTGTAGGGGTGGGTGGGTTGGTCTTTTTAATTGATGCACAGACACTTAAGACTGAAAATCTCTAGTGTAATTTGCTTCATTCACATATTCCTGCATTATAAAGCTGCATTTTCTGTAGGATCATGTTCTGGGCTTCAAAGTTTAGATGCTTTAGAACTAACTCTGATGAGAAAGTTTGTGTAACAACAATTCGAAGTAGCAGAAAAATATGGAAACACGCTGGATAAATGCTGAAGGGAGTTTCCTTCTTTCAGTTTCCTTTAGAAAGGTTGAAGTTGTTTTTTTTTAATGGTTCCACGCCATTCATAACTTTATAGAAAAGCCTTTTATACTTCACTCTTTTTTTGCCTATTGAAGTCAACTGCTACATCAACAAGGTAATCTGTCAGAAATACAAATGCCTGATATTTTAAATCTGGTAATAAAGATTAAGCTGTAATATCATGTATATGGCCTTTGGCATGGTGTGAACTTCTTATGGTAAATTCTGTTCTCTTATATTTATTTAACATGTTTTGTCTTCATTTTAGCAAACAACTTAGAAGAAAAAAAAAGAGACTATGTTCAGCTTCTTCCGAAAAAGTCAAGATTCAAAGAAGGTTACAGTGCCAGAGAGAGAAGCAGATGGATTTGTTATTGTGGGTAAGTGGTGCTTCTGTATAAAGTGATTCTTATCATCTTTGAAATGTAAAATTTTCTTTGAAATGGCCATGATTAAAATTGTTCAGAAATCTTACTTTTCTTGAAGGAGTTCATATTCCTAGTCTCATTTGGACTAAATAGCTGAAGTTTTATTTACATAGGAACGCACTCTTATTCCAGAGCATTGACAATGTAGTTTCTTGTTTTCCTCTCATAGTGAGGAAGGAGAAGTTATGTCCTTACAAAACAAGAAAGCTCAAAGTTGAGGCTTCTAGCTTTATTAGAAGTTGTGGGAAGTTGTTAGAGTTGTGGGAAGAGCGTATCTTACTGCAGTTGTTAGAGGACTGGTTTTTTTCAGGTTCCTTCCTTTTAGTGTTACCCCCAAAGTCTTTTTATATTAGAAGCCAAGAAGCGTCTGTGTATGTCTAGTCACATGGCGAATGTAGATGTTCTGTCTCAGAATCTGACTCTTGCTTAGTTTGATGAAAATTAAGCAGTTTAGGGTTTTCGAAGTCTTTTTGTTATTCAAAAACTAATCTGAAGTTTACTCACCTGTGAACTGATAAATTTGCAGCTTTAATCAAGCTCTTTCGCAGTCTTGTAGGATGGCTCAAGTGTGCAGAAGATAAAGAATTTATTGCTGTCATGCTGTAACTAATCCTTTTCTTTTTCCTCTTGAAATTTTGTGTTTTCCTCCTTGTAAATCTGTCATCATCAATATTCAGCTTCTGCTGCTCTGATTTACTGACTTGTTCTTATCAGGAATCTTACAGTGTTTCTGTATTTAAGTGTTGCTTCTTCTTGAGCATTTTCAAGTCACGAAAGCCTCTAGATTATCAAAACCTAACAGTATGAGAGACTATTGGAACTCTTTCTCAGGAGAACTTACTATCTTCTTTGTAATAGTTCTCCATTAAAACAAATCTGGTTTCACATCTGTGACTCTCTGTTGTCATGTTTAATGGTTGCCTTCCACTAGATTTTGTTCATCTGCACTGGTGTTGATGGCTACATCAAGTCACTCCAGCACTTGCATTGTGGAAGGGTCAAAGGAGACACATTGTCATCCCAAAAAAGTCTGGAGACCATTTAGAGTTTCAAGTTCTGTAACAGGCAGAGAGTTCTGCCCCCAAACATTGCTTATGTCCCACAATTGCTGGTCCTGATTCTGCATTCAATTTAGCTTCATTCCTTTTTCCTGAAATGCTGTCAGTGACTATTTAAACTTTGTTCGTGTAAATTCATATTAAATTAATCTGTTAAATATAAACTTAAGAACTATCAATTTTACCTGAATCTTATTTCTATTTATTATTATTTTTTGCTCAGACAGAAGTTAACTTAGCAAACTGCAACAAAATGGACTGTAATTTCATCTTAACTAACTTTTACTGGGCAGAATTGCTGTCAACCTTGTCAGTGGAGCATATCACTGTCTTGCTAGATGGATGTAGTTGCAGAATTATAGGTCAGCACTTAAGTAGATACTTATCTAGAAGTTTTGTTTGTGTAGAAATAGTGGCAGTTCAAAAAAAACCCCACAAAACAAACCACAACACCTAGCTATTCTGCTAGTTACTTTTTTAAACTTAGGTGTAAAATATTCTAGAATACCAGCACTAAATGTCTTTAACAAATCTCAGTAGGCTTATAGGACCATTAGTGTGAATACTGCTGTAAGCAGTGAACACTCTTGAAGGGAATGAGAATTTAATTTCTTATGTTTTAGGTTGGTTCCTAAACCCAGTCTTTCATTCAAAGCATATAAGAACAAAAAGCCTACTTCGCTGATATTCTGTGGACATGGGAGGAAGCGCTTTGCTTTTCTTTCCTGGAGAAACAGGAGGAAAAATACATCCTCAGGGGACGCTTGTTCCTGATTTCCACTGTTGTGGTCAGGAGAGCTTGTCTGTCACAAATCCCTTCCAAGATTGTTCACGCCATGCACCACTGGTAAGGGCAGCCAGGAGTCTTACTGGAAGTCTGAATGAGACTTCTCAAGGAAGAATCAAATGCCATGTCCATTAAAGTATGAAAGAAATCTATTCAGTAATGTAGTGAGATTACTGAGCATCACAATTAAATGTAGATTATTAAGTGTAATTTTCCTAACAATATTTAGTTATTTTAATCTCTTTCTGTATCATCTGATATTTGAAAAAGAGGGAGGAAGGTTCAACACTTTATTGAGAAAGGTCCACCAGAGCTATCACCCTGTCAAATCTTGAGGATCTTTTTTTTTTGTTTTCTATTTGTTTCATAACTCCTCCAAGTCCTGTTATATATGGCTATATTTTAAATCTACCTTTGCTTGTAGAATATGAATGCATTTGGAATTTCAATGTCTTAATATCTATTCTTTGACTAGAAAGATGACTCATAAAAACACCGGAAGCAACAAAAACAACTTTGCAGCATACTAGCTGAAAGAAATTATCTATTTTAGTTTTTGGGGCAAATACTGCATTGTCGGAGTCAAGAAAAAAGAATTCGTAATTCACTCTCTACAAAATAAATAGAAAATGTAATTTTCTACCAGGGACTAAAGCATTTTTATGTCTAACTACCAGTTCACTTATTTTCCAGATACTGGTCATCTCATCTGTTCATGAAGCTGTAAAAATGGTGCTTGTTCTGTAACAAGCAGCAATATTATTCTGAAAAGGGAAAAGAGGCTTATGAAATACACACGACACGTGATTGGTTTTGATGAGTGAATCAATTGCAGAAATATGAAAAATTTTTCAGGGGTTTCCCTGGTCATCGCAAATTGTTTTTAAAGTTAACATTCTGAATGCCAGAATTCAGAAAACAAGTAAGTTTTCAGTTAGCTTGGGGATCTTGAAGAGTAGTAGTCCTTAAGGAATTTCTCATGTTTTGTGGCTTTTGTAATACAAATTCCAGCCTACCATCCATTCCTACTGTTGCTAGCCACAGAGAAGAAGACAGGCTAGTGCTGGCATTTTGGTTTGGCACACAGCTAAAAATCTCCCATCAGATCTCAAAGATGCATGCGACTGGTAGTCCTAATCTCAGTCTAAGATCAGGAATTGAAAAACTGAGACAGCAATGCTGCTTCCCATGTGTGTTTGGCAAGAAGGTCAGAAACTCTGCAAACATCCACATGGTGCTGGTGGTTCCACTGGGGTGGGTGGTGAGTGCTTTTTGCTTGAAGACAACTGAAATATCATAGAAACATAGAATGGTTTGGGTTGGAAGGGACCTTTAAAGATCATCTAGTCCAACCTGCCTGCCACGGGCAGGGACATTTTTCACTATATCATGTTGCTCAAAGCCTTGTCCAACCTGACTTTGAACACAACTCTGTGCAGCCTGTTCCAGTGTCTCATCATTGTCATCATTAAAAAAAAAAAAAAAAAAAAAATCACTTATTACAGAATATTGTTCTGTATGTGCTCTTTAAAAAATACTGCTAAATGTTAATTTTGTTTTCAGGTTTAGTTTAAGATGCTGATGTGCAGGGTCTTGGTTACTTTTCCAGAAAAAATTGAAGTAAGCCAGTGTGAGGGAGCAGCAAGTGCTTGTGGCTCCACCAGGCAGGTGAGCCTGCAGCCAAGCGAGTGTACCAAGAGGGCAGGGGCTTGGGCAGAGACCTCGCCGACCAGGGGTGCAGTCCCACACTACCCGAGCAAGGACAACAGAGCAGGTCTGGTGACAGTGACCAGGGTCAACTGAGAGTCCAGCGGTTGCCAGACAAGTCTGCAGGGACGAGGCAGATCTCAGGCCAGGCTGGGAAGTCAGGTCAGAGGGTTGGGGTCATCAAGGTGCACGGGCAGGTGCAGGCATCCCTGCAGGGTGGCTTCGGCAAGGACCAAGAACCTGAGGTGAGGTTTCTCCCGCAGCTCTTTGCCTGGACCCTGATGGCCATGCTCAGGCTGCACTGTGTCAGTGCTGGCCGTGGGCACAGACAGCCAAACCCCTGGGGCTGGGGAAGGGGCTGCTGAGCCTGGTGGCGCACTCGGGGCCAAACAGCCAGGATGGTTGTGTTGTCTCTCACTAGCATCTGGAGGCAGCACAGTTCTCTGAGGAGCTCTTGATCTGAGCCTTTGACCATGCCTGAGTTCAAGTCTGCTTTGTTTACTTTTAACTTGTGTTTTAAAGACCAATCTGTTTCATGTTGGGTTTTGTTTTGTTTTCTCCTAAGGATCTTTTTATGTCATAAATTAAATGGCTTGGAGAAGCAGCTCAGTTGCTGGTGCTGATAAACTGATTTGTAAACATATTTAACTTCTATTTCTTCCTTGAACTTAGGACAGCTTCCTGTTTCATTTTTTTTAGATGTAAATTAACATGGATTTTCAATACTGACCAACGGCTATTATTTCAGAGCTCTGCTCTCAGCCTCAGGTGCAGATCTCTTAACAGGTGGTACGGTGTATTGTTACTGACTTACAGGGAGTACTTAACTGTCACCTGAAGGTTGTTTTCTGAGATTCAGCAATTTTGCTGTAGAGTTTTTCAAAGTTTCAAGAGTAAGTACCCAAGGAAAAATGGACAGGCACGGGATTCTCGTCAAAGTGGAGTGACTGTCACAGACGCAGGAAGGCTGTGGCCACGGTGAGAAGGGTTGGCAGGAATTTTGTAATGAAGATACATACTCCTGCTCTGTAAACCTCCCTTTTCCATACTGTGCTTTCCTAGATCCTTGGAGGTCATCTAGAACTACTAAGCAAATTTTGGATTAACACCTATTTGTTATGCTTCTCACTATTGGAGCAAGCATGATTTTTGCCTGTTACGTTTCCTCTCAAGAGAACATAAATAGTCATAAACATAAGAAATTAAGTGTTTTGAAATCTCTTCCCAATCAGGAGAAGGACTTGTGGTATTTAAGTGAGTCTTGGATCTGTCGAATTAACCAACGTGTACCTTCTGTTTCAATCCTGATGTCTGAAGAGAAGGAGCTCTACAGAGCAAATGTGGTCGGGCTTGTATCATCACCTAAAACCTCACAGAAAAGGAGGTGGGAACTACTGTTT